GACTTACTATGTGTCAGTTGCTGTTCTAAGAGTACCACACACAGAAACTCCCTCTGCACAACAGCCCCACCAGAGAGGGATAAGAAACCAAGGTGCAGAGAGGTTGGGTAATGCCACGAATACCTTAAAACTTGTAAACAGTGAAATCTCTGCTTTTATCTCAGTGTGAGAACATTGAGATTTATGTAACTTCTGAGCATTGAGTCTCAGAGACACCCAGGGGGAGGATGGAAAACACCACTTCTTTCACCTTTTCTGTCATATGGACATCACTCACACACACACACACACACACACACACACACACACACACACCCATCAGTCATCTTTTGTTCCATTACAACACTTTTTACTCAGGCTCCACACTCCTGCCTCTGCCTCTGACTTTGTTCCTTGCCTTCCCATAATCTTCCAGCAGCAGGTGGGAGCCACCTACTCCAAAAGTACTAAAAGATCCTTTTGTGTTTTGCTGCCAAGTGAACAGCTCAAATACTCTGCCTTTGATTGACATTTCTAAAAACTTCTGGCTGAAAATGAAAGTAGATTTCACTTGGCATAATATTCAAACTGCCAGTTGCTTTCAACTAATGAAGAACCTGTTTATGTTGATGGCAGATTTGTTCACAAAAGCATATAGAGACCATTCCAAAACTCTCCAGGATAATTTGTTTTCAGTCCTTCAGTTTCTCATTAAAAACGACAGCACATCAAATACTGCCCCTGCAACTGCCAGCCTTATATCTTGGACTTTTTTGATAACTCTCTGACCCTTTCTCTTACCTGCTCTCCTGGAGCATCTAGCAGAGGTGCTCAAAAAATATGCATCCAATTGAAGGAAGTTCCTCCATTTAAGGTCACAACTGGAGTCTTGCTCAATTTTGTACTACAATTTGGAACTAATGGCTGGCTAGAAATTCAACAATCTATATATCATACAGATCTATGTCTAAATCTACCATTCAGTTTTTTTCATGTCTTACTGAGGTCAGAGTGGCATTGAGATTTTTAAGGTCTGGACTTTCACTGTGGCCTCAGAAACAGAGACTCATAAAATGCTATTATTGAGGATAATAATAATAATATTGAGGGCAGCAAGCTCTGATGGACCATGGGCAACAAAATTAAAGAGAAATGGACATTGGTAAAATGACAAATTTTATCCTAAGCCTTTAGAATTGGAAGGAAACTTAGAGACAAATGTGTTAAAAACTTAGCTTATTTGACAGATGAGGAAGGTGAGTTCTGAGAGGCTGTGGAATTGTTCAGGATCACTCAGAGAGTTCACAGTAGGGCTCTGAGATTCCAGCCCCTGCCTCCTCTCCAGGGCTTCTCTACACTGCCTCCTCAATGAGCACCAGTGTCTGCACTTTGGAGAGACAGCAGAGGAACTGAGGGGCCGGGGTGCAGTCAAAGCAAGCAGCACAAGTGGAAGGAAATGCAAAGAAAATGATTAGTGTGATGATGCCAAATGTTTTAAAGATCTCAGTCATTACCTCGATAAGATGCTCCTGCCTATTAAATGGCAGGGGTTCAAGAGGGTTTTCTGGAATTTTTATATCTTCATCTCCTGTAAACCACAGACCAGCCTACATAAAAAAATAAAAATGAAAATCATTAAAGTATGTATTATGCAGAGATGTTCCTCTAAAAGCCACAAGAGATTGTGCCAATCTTGTCTCTAGAGCAGATGTCTCCCAGGTAGGCTGCAGAAACCACAGGGGTTTAGGAGAAAATACTAGAACTCCCGTCTACGTTTCTTTTTATCTCATTCTTTTGTAGTTTTTATTTCCACATCTTTGATAACGTTCATAATGTATTAGTGTGGTAGCATATGTACATAATTTATAAATAAATGTCCATAGATTAAGAGTGCTAGCCACTTTTAACTGCTGGAACGTGTGATGAAGCTGGGAGGCACTTCCCTGTATCACTCTTGGATTAGTCACATTTTGGAGGAGTCTGTGCCCCCATTAAAAATAGTTCACATTCCTCATGTCCTGTTCGTGTCCTGTCTGTTTGTGGAGACTTGCATGGTGCTGGTTACATTGTTGGCTTTAGAAAACTCTTTGTTAAGTAACTGAATGACTGACTCAAGATCTCAGCGACCTCGTTCATGACATCCCTCTGTCTCAGTCTATAACCGACACCAATGAGAACTTCATTTCCGCAATGCAGGCATACTATTTGACTGTCCTAATGTGTTGTTTTCAACAAATCTTACGAAATTTCGACCTAAGGTTATTTTGATGTTTTCACTGAAACAACATTGTGGGGGAGGGACAGTGAGCTGCGAAGTGCTGAAAATCTGTGAAAGGCATGCAGGCTGGTCAAGTGGGCCTTTCCACATGAGGGCTTCAGAGGAGGGGGCCTGACGGCGGAAAGGGAGAGGGCACAGCTCAGAAAACAACTGTTCCCCAAAACACAGGCAGTGTTCAAAGAAGTAGTTCTGAGTTTCTCTTAAACACAGCATCCAACTTTCTCTAAGAAACTCACACTTTTGGTAAAATAGTTTTCTGGTTTTGGCTCAGCACTTTGGTGAAAATTGCCAACACCCTTTGTTCTTATCGTGTTTGTGCAAAAGGACATTGAAATCGATATCCTAGGTTAGTTGCCACGTGCAATAAATAACTGAATGTCAATAATTTCATGAGTGCACACTATTTAAAATCTTAAGACATCTATGCAAACAGAGTAAGTTTTGCTCTGCTGCTTTTGCTTTTAAATAAAACCACCTTAGCAAAAACGTAGCAGAGGTCAAATAACCGAACAACTGTCTTGATCAGCCCTGAAAGAGCCTCATCATAATTTGTGTTTTTTCTTCTGGCTCAACTCTATGAGCCTGGAAATTTCAGAACTCTCTCAAAAAAAAGCAGGCCATGCATTAAGGAAGAAAAGGGAAGCAGGAAGGGATGCTTTGGTGAAATGCATGTGGGATACAGGAACCTGAGAATATTACTCTGTTTCAAAGTTAGCTCCTTCTGAAAGTTCCCTCTTTCATGTTGACCAGCAATGTGAAATGGTGAGCAATATAATGACATTAATAAAGACAAAGTAAGTAGTTCAGGCCCCCTCTCAGTTATGAAATTTTGTTCTTACTCCTTTCTTACTCAAAATTCTCAAAAATCAACAGACTTTTCTTGTCTTCACTTTCTAAAGACCCATTCATTTCCTCACCCCTCTGCCATGTAGCTTCTGTACTTATTATTCCACCAAAATTTCTGTAACACAGGTTACCAGTTACATCCCACCTGCCATGTCCAATGGCCAAATATTACACTACTGGGTTATCCATCACTTTCCTTGAGTGATCTCATACATTCATAAATTCAATAACCACCTACATGACACTGACTCGTGATCCCTTCTGTACAGGCAGCATTAGATTGGACATTTCTGTCTTCATTTCCCACAGACATTTCAAACTCAACTTCTCAAAAACAATGTCATCATTCATCACCCTCTCACCCCAAAGGAAAAAAAACCTGCTCCTTTCCGTGTGTGTGTGTGTGTGTGTGTGTGTGATCATTGTTCTTTCTGTTTTGGGAGTATTGGGCACTGGGTTTAATAAAAGCTTTGCCGATGATTCTAATGTACAGCCAAGGATAAGAACCACTGGTTAGGAACTCAGGAGAAGAACAACGCAGTTTATGTAACTGCTTTCAGAACCCTTTGTTCTCCTGGAAGTTCTGACTTTTTCAGATCCTTTCCCTGGGGATGGAAGCCAGGCTTCTGCCTGGGACTTTGACACTGCCTTTGCTGCCCCTGGATGCCTAAACGTGGGCAGCTGAAAAGCAATGCACTGGTCTGAGACCTGGCAATGTAACATCAGTGAGTAATTCACATCTTAGGTCACAAGTGTTCTGGTTTTATCAATGCCATAGGTGCTGGTAACAACCTGCATATACTGCTCGAAAGTGATGGTGCCTAACTGCTCCTTATCCACAGCCTTGAACTTCTGAAGGGTCTCAAGGAGCTCCTCCTCCAAGGGAATGGGCCAAGGCATGGAGGTTACTAACAGGAACTTCCGCCAGTCCACGAATTCCGAGTTGACTGTTAATAAGGATGTTAATTCCTGTAACTAGAAGAAAACAGGAAATGTCTTTGGAATATTTACATGATTTCTACTCGCTCGCGTTTTCATAGTTAGAGTTTCTCATGAAAGAAGGAGGACTTTTCACTGGCACACAGAGTCAGTTCTGACTTTTGTTTCTTTTATTCTACCAACCAGGCCACACCAGACAGCACCTAGAAAGTGTTTCATGTTTTGCTCCCTTTACATTTGTGATTTTTGTTTACCATTATGCCATCAATTTACACACATCACTGCAGTTAACTTTGTACCTTTTTAACAGAAGAGAGATAGAAATTGCAGCTGTGCCTGTGTAAACGCTCTGCAGCCCATGGTGGATTGCCCTTTAACCATTCTGTTTTCTGAACACTCTTAAGGAAAATGTTATGATGAAAAGCGAGAACAACTAGAATTATCTATTATTACTAGTTAGGCTCATTCCATCTGGCAGTTATAGAAAGAAACTCACTGGTTGAGCCTCACGGTCTCTATAATATGTCAGTGACAGATCATCACTTATTCTTCAAATATTGAGCATGTGCATACTGTATGTTTTAACTGGAAGTTCACTCATGTTTTTATTTACTCATGTTTCATTGATTGCCTACGAAATGCCAGACACTATGCAAGTTACTCATTATTTTTAGAACTATTGATTCATTGATCAAATAAGAATGCTTAAAGCTTTAAAACTCAAACAACATAGAAGCTTACTTCAGGTTGGGTCAGGTGCATCCAACTACTAGGTAAGTTGTTTGTGCCAAGGTTCAAGGTCACCAAATCGATGAGAATGTCAGTAAATGCTTTATTTCCTATTGTGCCTATAATACAATAAAAAATATTTCGCTACTTAGATTAGGTGATTTTTTTTCTTCTTTTGCTAAAATAAATGTAATGAGTATTTGAAAAATCATTTTATTCATATTATATAAAACTGTAAGCTTTAAAGAAAAAGAAGACATTTTGGAAATATGAAAATAATAATTTCCTGATGCTTTCTCATTATTGTTTCTCAACTAAGTCAAAATTCCTTTTTTTGGCTTAGTAATAATTAATTCCAGATTGGGTAAAATTATCAAACTGTATACTTTTTAGTTGAGTCTTCTTCATGTTTCACTCAGAATAGGCTGAATTTGTTTAAAAAATATGATTTTAAGGTTTCCAATATGCAATAGGGCACAAGAGTAAACTATTTTGGCAAATATTAAATAAAAGGGTTCCAAATGCATGCAGATTATCACTGCAAGAAAGGTAATACATTTATCTGCATCTTGCCCTTTGGATCAGACTATATTTGCTTTTGAAGATGTAGAGAGATTTGAATTGTTAAGTTACTGGATTTTGAAAGTGCTAATTTAGTGGTCTGATTGGCTCAGCGTTCCTAAGCATTACATGAAAGACCACTGACCTTTTACATCCTTTGCTCTTAGGCACGAACCTACTTAACTCTATTTAAAAGAGATGTCTGCTTCATTTTTCATTTCAAATTGCACGCACATGCATTAAGAAAAAAAAAAGAAAACAAAATAAATGAATCCACTTTAAAAAAAATGTCTGGCTAACCAACACAAAAGTGGTACCTTCTAGAACAAGGAGAGACGCCTAATGTGTATTCAGGTATCTTTCAGGTCCAGAGTACATCTCTATTCTTTGTTTTAGGAATGAAAAGACTGAAAGATAGACACGCTATCTCAAGGTTTTCTTTCTACAACTAAATTTTTAGCATTTCTAAAAGTTCACATGAACTTTATCATTTCCTCTAACTTCCAGGGAAATGCAATAATTCTTCTAAAATCTCAGTGCTTCAAACCAAATACACAGTTTTGAGATTTGGAAGGTAATTTTCTGGGTAGCAAGATCAAAACATTTCTTCTTTGATATAATTGGCTGTTCAGAAATAAATTCTGTATCCTTTTTCATCAAACTTGAGTATCCAGTTTTATAGACAGGAGAGCATTTTCCCAGACAGCAGAATTTTCAGTGAACTGAGGTTTATAAAATCCTACGTTGGTTTTTAGATAAGTCAGACATAACTCAGTCATGCTCTTCAAGCTACAGCCGTAAACAAAATCTATTGAAACCATGAGGAGGCTCAAAGAATTTTAAAAATCTTGTAAGCTGCAACACATTTCTGCTACCTCTAATGGATATGGTGCAAAACAGTGTTATAGGACAGTACTTTCAGTTTACATACAAATGGTTTACCTGAGGATTTAGCATGAAATGTGAAAACTGTTTTAATATTTGCCTTTGTTACTTAAATGGCCAAAGCATGCAGTGATATGATTGCAATAACATAATTACATAAATTTACAAATTTTGTTCACAGATGAAAAGAGAAGCTCTCTTTTAATCTGGCTGTGAGTTAATTACCTAATGCAGCTATCACTGAGAATTATTGAGGAAAAATTATGAATCGTATGCCAGGCCTAAGGGAAATCAGGCCATAATCATAGTCGGGTCACCCTTAGTGATAACTCTCAAAAAAATGATCTCAAAATAACACCATTGTGTAGAAGCATACAGTTCCACCGAAAGAGTGTGAAAGAACACATGAATACATATAAGTGAAGTTAGAAAGTTATAGATGAAACAATCTTGAGTTTTTTACTCTGTATGTTTGGAAGAAACCAAATGCCTTTTGTTTGATGTGAAGACAAGTTATTGTTTTACTTTTAAATTTCAGGTTTCTGGACACCATTTATTTTATGTTTTTTACTATGCAAAAAAGTTACATTGCTATGCAACTACAATGTAAACATTTGCCTATTGCTAATCACTTTCATAATGGTTTTCTGAGTTTGATGAACAATCTGAATTAAAGCTTGTGTCACCAGTTGAAGACGGTGTTCCTGTATTCCATAAATGGATAGCTTTCCTAGGGTCAAAATTATTAATGTCTGGAGAATTCAACTGAATGATTAGGACATCTGTCAGATATTCAGCCTTGATTTTTGGATGCATGTGTAACTTGGTCCGTTTCATCTGACTAAAGCCACGTTCTGCTTCAGCTGAACTTGCAGGAAGGGTCAGCACTAAGTCGACTAGTGTCAGGATATTTGGATACTTGTGTAAGTAAATGGAATTCACAAAATCCCAGGTCAACTGTCGAATGTTTTGAAATCTAGGAGGGAGAATAAGAAATGTTAAAGATTGAGACTCTCAAGTTTTACCCAAACATTTATAAACATCAGCCACTCTCCTTGGCTTGCTTTCTTGCTTACCTGCCGTAGATCTCTAACTTCAACATGCTCCATTCAGTATCCACTTCACTAAGTTTCACATTGGCAGCTTCTGATACCGGTTCATGGTGTGCAGTCAGGATGGATACCTCTTTTTCTCCAAATTCTATAATCAAGATACCAGAAAGAGTCATATATATAAAAGAAACTCATACAGAGCATCAGAGAATAGGTTCGAAGTCAGTGCATGTGGATTACCTTGATTTATCTTTGTGGGCCACAATTTAAAACTTCCAATCACAGTAGCCCTCACTGCATTTTGGCTGGCGTCTCTGAAACAGCCTTGAAGCCTCTTGATAAGATGTGTTAAAACAGTAGTTCTCATAGCAGAAATGTTTTCTTTCCCTCTGAGGCAGTTTCCATGAAAGTGTGTGACTCAATCCACTATGCGTTCTTTTGGCCCTAGTCTGGGGAGAAAAAAAAAAGCATCCAAATAACAACTAACAAGTTAAAATTAAAAAATCTGGCAGATAATTTTGCAAGTCAAACTGTCTGGTTTGACAGCTCTCTGATCATCCCAACCTCTTACGTTGTTTGATAAATTCAGAGCATTTCCAGCGTTGACACTTAGGTGGCAAATATGTCAGCAATTGAGGAGTTTCTGTTCTTACTGACACAGGACAGAATGCTAAGGACATTAATGACATCCAACAAGAAGTGGGCAAATTTAACAATGTCAGCTTGGAGAAAAGACTCTAGAAGTTCTTTGGATTTCTTTTGCTTTCACTTGCCTGTAACATGGGTTGGGAATAACATGGTGGTTATCTTTCCCAAAATTATGATTCCAGGGAGCTCAAGAGAAGTATGTTCTGTGATATTGAAAAAGTAAAACAATATGGTATTTCAAAATTACTTACTGAGTGGAGTTGCTGAACAATTGCAGGATATCCCTTGAGAAAGTTCTGGAGGGCTGCCTGTAATCCATGAAGACACCTCCTGCCTCCTATTTGAGAAGGCATCACAGGTCAAAGGTGAAGGCCTTTGAAAGTAGTCCTCAGAGCACTCTTATGAAGAGGAGAATTGTGATAAAAGTGATAAATGCTGTGAAGGAGGTCTTTGACATCATTGTACAGAGGAGTGCTCTGGAACACCACTTTGTAAGATAGTTCAAGGTGATGGCAAAGCAATATATAGTCTGTAAACATAGTTGTATTTCTCTTAATAGCAGGGCCACCTCATTGTTCTCTCCCTCTATGCCATGGGTACCATCACTTCCAAAACCAACCAGCTTCTTTGCCCAGTCTTGGCTTGACAGCGTAAGTTGAAGATTTCTCTCGAGAGTTTTCTCAATGGCATTGTTTATTGCCAGAGGATCATTTCTTTCTACTGACTGTACTCCAACAATTTGACAGTGCACTTTTCCCGCATGTGCAAACTGCACATAGACAAGTTCGGCTTCTTTGATTAAACTGTCTGTGATTCCATCACTGATGACAGAGAAAAATTTTCTTTTTTCTAGCTTCTCTCTTAGATGTTTTTGTTCAGCTTCAGCAATACAGTGTGTAAACATTCTTGCTGATATTTTAGTTCTGAATACTGGGCCAATATCAATACCTTTCATGTCATCCAACTTGCACATCCAAATAAAATCTTTGAGGGGACGCCTGGTCTTGGCAATAGCATGGCATGATCTGAACAATTTCTCTACTCTCCCGAGGGTTCCTTTGCTCATGGTCTTCATCATTAGTTTGGTGGTTGCTCTGTTCACTGGAGAACTACTCGTTGCTTCCATTAATGAAGCCTTGGCATGAGCCTCGCTGAAATGATGTGCACTGAGAAACTCAGCCTTCAAGTTGTCAGTACCATAAAAAAAATTTGCTTGACTTCCCCCTGACTTGACTGGATGCTTATGACACAGGGTGCAGAACATAAGATTTAATAACTCATCATATATAAGCCAAGGATACTTTTTAAGCCAAATTTTCAAAAATTGATTGTTTCTCTTTGGAAGGTAATGGTAAAGCTTCTGTGGCCTTTTCTGCTTTTCGGTGACTCTATTCACATCATCCGAGGGATTCCTGCCTTTAAAATAACTCCATGTTGTTATTTTAAGTAATCACAATTTCTACCCTCAGTTTTGCTTAATCTCTGACCCTCACCATTTGCTGTTTTTGGAAAAATTTTATTGAGTGCTTATTACTTAGCGGACATTCTGGTGAGTGCTTTAACTGGTTTATATTACTGAATCCTCACAATCCATTACCCCTATTATATAAGTTCGGAAAATGCACTGACTGTTATTATCACCATTTTATGGATAAGAAAACTGGGGCACAGGGAGGTTAATTAAACTGCAATGTTGCAGTGCTTGTAAGTAAGTGGTAGAGCTGAGATTCACCAGTAGGCTGACACTCCACAGCCCGCTTGTAAACTTCACTCTTACATGTGTCTTGTATGAGGAAAGGAGTGCTATGCTTTTCTTCACTTTTGAATCCATTGATTCATGCATAAGAGGGACATGGATTTTAGCTAAAATTTTCTTCCCTTGGTGATAAAAAAGGAATAATAGAGCATGCATGGTGGTGTGTCTGCAAGATCTGCCTTGGACATCCCTTCGTTCCTGCCTAAGTCCTACCTTCCATGGCAATGCCACAGCAAGCTTGTTGACTTACAAAAAGGGTGCAAAGCTTTGAAATCCTTGCCAGGTGGTTTTGTAAAGGAGCTATGCCTCATGCCTCATCTTTTTCTTTCCCCCGAAGGTCTAATTTTTGACACATATTTGATTATATGTCAGACAAGAGGACATAAGTTTATCTGAACAGAAGGATAAAAAACTAAAAACTACACAAAACAAAGTCCTCAAATACCAGTTTCTCCTTGAAGGTAGAGAGCCTACATCATGTGTATATGTCCCTTCTACACTTTCTTTGATGTTACTAATCATTAGATTATATTGTCCTATTTTATTACATAATAAAAATTGAGTATGTGTTTATTAAAATATTTCATGTTAACATACACTCTTTTTGTCAGTGCTTTATGGTTTTAACATTTGGCCCCTCTGAATAGAACTAAATAATGTGCTTCATAATGTCTGGCTGACTCCTAAGCACTTGGTAGATGTTTAAGAAAATTAATCTCCTTTCCTAATTGATTTTCATGATTTCATATCTCAACTTTTTTTAATTGAAAACCTTGACATTAGTTGATCTGCCTCTGCCTTTCACACCTTATTTGAGTCTAACTTCTCCTTTGCTTTTTAATCAGTCTTTGTGTGGCTCTTGTTAAAATAGACCCCTATTTTTGCAAATTCTAAATATTACCATATTTCGCTTAAGATTAGTATCCTTGTAGTTGACAGCTACTGCCTTTGTTTTCTTATTCAAGCACTGAGCTACTTGTTAGTCTTCTGTGTTAGGGCTGTTGCACTAGGCCTGGGGTCTGCTATACACATATAAATGCTGATGAATAAATGAATAAAGGGATGAAAATATAAAGTCTCTTTTTGTTAAAGAAAGGGCTTTGGTTGAGCATGGTAGCTCATGGCTGTACTCTCATCACTTAGGGAGGGTGAGGTGGGAGGATCACTAGAGCCCAGGAGTTCAAGATCAGCAAGCAACGCAGTGAAATCTCATTTCTATTTGAAGATGAAGAAGAAAAGGAATAAGAAGAAGACGAAGAAGAAGAAGGAGAAGGAGGAGGAGGAGAAGGAGGGGAGGAGGGGGAGAAGGAGGGGAGGAGGAGGAGGGGGAGGGGGAAGAGGAGGAGGAGGAGAAGAAAGAGAAGTAGGAGAAGAAGAAGGAGGAAAAGGAAGAGGAGGAGAAGGAGGAGGAGGAGAAGGAGGAGGAGGAGGAGGAGGAGGAGGAGGAGGAGGAGGTGGAGGAAAAGAAAGAAGAAAAAAAATTAGCCAGGCAAGGTGGCAAGCACTTGTAGTCTCAGCTACTACTCAGGGAGGCTGAGGTTGTGTGTGTGTGGGGTGTTGTGTTGAGGCTGTAGTGAGCCATGATTGTGCCACTGTACTCTACCCCGAGCTACAGAGTGAGATCTTGTTATAAAAATTTAAATTTAAATTTTAAAAAATTTAATTTTCAATACTGATTTTGCTAGTTTCAAAACAAAGTTTTAGTTCTATGGACAGATTTTCCAGAAGATGTTATCTTGAATTCTGAGTATATACTTTCATTTGTCTAATGTAAGTTCTCTGGCTTTGGGAGAATACCTGTGTATCTCATTCTAAAGGCATATTTGAAACTCTGTCCATACATGAACAGTTTTAACAGGCTCAAAACCATCTAGATTTACTACTGAATTTCTGTGATCTGAATCTGATCTAGTGGAAAGAGTTCCGCCACTGAATAAAGCAAAGGCAGGTGGGGGCCATACTCCTCTTTGCTGTAATCCCTATATTTTGCCACCTGCTGTGATAATTTTGTTAATAACACCTACTCTTCTATATCATTCCCTTCTCTAAGAAATCTTTCTGTATTTATTGATTTGAGTAAATGTTAGACTAACTTAAACAATTTTCAGATCAAAAATACTTACCTGCAAATATATAGTATTGTATTTTTATAATTTTCTCAGAGACACTAAGCCTGGAAAAATCCACTGAACTTTCTCGTTACTCCTTTCAGGCAACCAACCACTCAGGTGCCCTTATTCCTGCCTCTGGGTTTTTGAGGCTTTGGAGAGAGACTGACAGTGCCGCCACTCTCTCAGACATAGTCTCTTTCCTGCTCCAATCCATTCTCCACAACACTTGCCTCTAAATGCCTTTGAAAATTCCTCTCCTACATGTTCTTTGCAAGCCACCTGAGACTTCACAACCTAGCCACAAGCTCTCTGTGGTCCCATCTCCTGCCTCTTGTCTGTTCACAGCTTCCTTAATATATCATGCAATCTCAAAAGCTCCACAGTTGCTCCAGTTTCCTCTTGGCCTGGAATACCCCACTTTTGCTTCTCTTCCTGGAAAGTTCAGTTTCAAAAGCCTCTGGGCTAACCCTCATGCTGACTCACATAGGCAGCAATAGCTACTTCTGCCTTTGAACTCCTGTAAAAACCATGCTGCCGAATGATCTGGTTTAATCACTATAGCCCAGAGTTTTGAATGTGTACCCTCTGTCTCTGGGACTAGTCATTAAATCTAAAGGTCTTTAAGAGGGGTTCAAAGAAGGGGTCCTTGTCAGTTTTTTAGAGCAATGTTACAGGCCTTGAACAACAAAATGTTGCCTCTTTTGAAGAAAAAGAAAGGGTATAGAATTTGCTGGACCATGTTCTCTTCAGGTAGCTTCTCAGCAGAAGAAAAAATAGCTATGAACCAAACCTCTGCAGCATTGCATAGAGTACTGATGGGCTTACAAGAAAAAAGAGTTCCTATGGTTTAAGTGGAGACAGAGGAACCCTGCTAGAGTGTTCTAGTTTCAATAGAATCCAAACTGCTTCCATCAGAAAAAGGCTGTCTTCCTGATGTACTTGGCACTCCATGTTTGGAGACAGGATGTGCCCACCCAGAACTTACTAGAGTACACAAAATGAGTGTTTTTGTTTGTGATGTGTGTAGTCCCTAGGAAGCCACATTACTTTATGATTTAATTCTACCAGTTGGTGTACAATTTTTTGGGAAGCACTCTGGGGTAATATTGCAGGTGCCTACTAGGGTACTTGCACCTTTAAGACACCAAGCTAACATTTTGAATAATAGAATACTTTTTATCAATATTGTTTGATATTATATATTATATACTAATATGACGTTACTATAATCAAGTCACAATGGCTTATATGATTACACTTAAATTGCACATTCTATGTGCAATACTCTTTCTAAGCACTTTACATATATTAATTACTTTAATCCTCATAACCTTATTTCAATACATGAAATAAATAGCATTGTCATTCTCATTTCACAGATGTGGTAATTTCAGAGAGAAATTTAATAACTTGTCCACGATCATATGACAGTCATGTGACAAGAGGTGAACTTGAGAGAGAACTGTTTGACTCTAGTCATGCCATCATAGACAGAGGTGGATAATAAGTAAATTAACATATGAAAATGTTAGCAAAGGGCCTGACACATAGTGACCATGCCAAATTAGCTATTGTTATAATTTGGAAAATATTCACTAGATCTAACTCTTCCAGGAGTATGTTCATGGGAATGATTCCTAGGATAGTTGATGGAAAGAATGGTTTGCTGATTCACTGGCTTTCTTTTACTCATACTGTTCTGATGCTTCTAAAGTATGGATCTTTGCTAACTGGCAGGAAAAATGCAAGTGTAATCAACTGTTCCATGGCATTTTGCATGGAATACCATGTATAAGGTCATTTTTTTTCTAGCATATTTGTAGCAATCATATCAATAAGTGATATTTTATGTGTAATCCTTACCTTTACCAAAAGAGATTTAGAATCATTACAAGTGGCAGAATTTGACCAGAAAAGAAGTGTTGACTGTATTACAATATATACTGCTTTTCAACTTTATGTTATGTTTAGTAAGGAGTATTTTAATGAAGACTTTTGTTTTCAAAGGAATTAACCAATACTTAGCAGAAAACCCCTTATGCTCTTTTTACTAATGGCATATGATGTGAATTTCTAAAAATACTGAACTTTTTAAAAAAAAAGTTACATTGTAGTAATATTAAAGTCAGTTGACTATGCTGTAGGGAA